TAAGAAAGAATCCTTGTAAAAGGGGTCGTAGAAAAACACATTTTTTGTAAAGTAATTCTTTATAAATACTGAATTTGAATTTCCGAAGAATACCAAGTTTCTTGATTCTTTGCTGATCATATATTGCACATGGTCGGTCCACCCTCCGTTAGTTGAGATAAAGACGCCTAGGTGTTTATGACAGGGGATTTCTGGTAAGGGGATGTTATTCATAAACAAGGAGGGATGAGTTGGTTTTTTATTTTTCTTGTCATTGTTTTGTTAGGGTTAAGGTTAACAAGCCATTTTTAGACCAATCATAATTGTTTTTAGATTGTAGTTCAAAAGGATGGCACTAAGATCCGGCAAGTCCATTACAACGTAAAGGGAAGTATCATCGGCAAATAATTTTATTATACAATTGATATCTTCAACAATGTCACAAATGAAAATTAAAAACAACAATGGGCCTACAATTTACCCATGGGGAACCCCGGCGGTAGTAGATGCTAAATCAGACTGTTTACTATTAATAACAACTCGTTGAGACCGATTATATAAATAATTTTAGAACCAAGCAAGTAGATTTCCTGTTATGCCAAAGTGTTCGATGTTAGAAAAAAGGCCACGATGCCACACTCGGTTGAACGCTTTGCTAGTGTCACAGAAAACCATTCTGATAATGTTTGTTTAATACATTGTGCCATTGAAATATGTCTATTTCTATTTAACTGTTTGTACAAAATGATGGTTTTTGCATCTTTTAATCATTTTGGTGTATTTTTTAATGAACGTCTGTTGTAAGTGTTGCTTTACCCCAAATAACAATACAAAACCAACGCAAAGGCATACATTACACACACAAATTTTCATCCTCAAATGACCTTAGCCGTTAGAAAAACGGTAAGCCCAAATAAAAGTAATTGATCGTTTAAAGCACAATTTGAGTGGCAAATATCAAGTGAAAGTTATTGTATACTGTTTGTTTCACTTCTTGATAAGAGTGTCCTTACACAAGTGGCAAGATCAATTCAAAATGTTTCCAACAAAATAAAACCCAATTAATTGATCAATATACACCCATTAAACACTCTAATGTCCAACCAGTATTTTGTCACCTACCGTTAAATAAATATATATAGATGAACCTAACAATCAAGTCCTTACGCAAATGATGATGTGCATCCGTCCATTCATGTACACAAATCATAGTCCCTCAGTCATCCATCAGTTATATGAATGATACCGTCGATTAAGATTTCTTATCTGCAACGATGCTTATTTCAGTTGAGGTAAGCTCCCGTTATGTTTACGCAAGGTCCTATCATTTGTTGTTTGATTGTTTTTTTTATAAATAAGTTTTCAACCGTACATGATCGTTGTGTACAAATCGGTCGTTGATACCCTAGTGAAATATTTAATCAGTTCTTGCTTATTTGTATACTTGTGTTCACCCCTACTGACCGTGGATTTAGAAAAAAGGAAGATAGTGCTATCCACTGTATTCTGTGTGAATTACAACCAGTTTTGGAATTCCTTACAGAGTTTTGTTTGGTTTGATTTGTTTATTCTATTGCTTTAATTTGGTTTCATTTTTATTTTTAACGACCGTTAAACAGATATGGTCTTTTAATGACACTGCTTCCTTAGGTAAAACCGTGCCAAAGGCACCCGGATTTGTTGTGTTGTTATAAAAAGCATTCTTGTTGGTCATTGCAATCTAAATCCAGTGTTTTATTGTAAAATTAAGCCTTGTTAACATATCTAACTTTATATTAACGTTCATTCAGTAAAGACGTACTAATGATGCATTCATTACATTATATTAACAATAAATAATGATGCGTTCCTTTACTATATTTTGACGTTAATTCAGTAAAGTCGTAATAATAATGTATTCCGAACTTTATATTGACGTTAATTCAGTAAAGCCGTCATAAAGATGTATTCCGAATTTTTTACTGACGTCCATTCAGTTTAAAGCCATTACAAAGATGAGTTCCTGACTTTATTTTGACGGCCATTCAGTAAAGCTGTATTTGACGTTTTAGTTAGGAACACGGTTCAATACATATCCCGTTGCTATGACAACGTCCAAACGTTTACTCCTTGTTGTAACTAAGTTATCTTCCGAAAAACTTTTTTATAATAGATTAATGGTAGAATGCTTATTTCAGATAATTAGCGACTCAGTAGCTATAAGTGTCTTTGTATACATACATAAAAAATGATGTATATATATATACAAATTTATGTGTAAATATTCCTTCCAAAGAAACTGTAACGTTATCATGTTTAGGGTTTCCTGTTACGTTTTAGCATGCTGTTTACCAAATGATGGAATTACTGATGTTTACGTCAGTCGTATGTCTCGGTTCTTGTAAAAAATCCTAAATAAATAACACAATTTTCAAATGGTATGTTTGTCTACAACTTTCAAATGTTAATATCTGCATACTATGCAACGTTCTTACATATGTTATATTGTTACTTGAGTTGACAATTATATAAATATAGTTCGCGTTGGATTTCAAAGGTATAAACAATGGCAAAGGGAAGTAGAGTGATTATTAAGCAAGCTTAAAACTTATGTAAATGAATCTGCTCCTATGTGCCGTTCCTATAACGACCCTCCCAATTAATGCATGTTACAATGTTATGTCCGTGTGTTCACGTAGCGCCAGAAAAAAACCTTTTCGACTTATTTCTATCTCACGTATTTAACGGGGATGAATTTTCTTTGTCAGTGTAAAATATAAAACAAATAGCCCCGCGGTTGCCAAACTAATGTATGAAGGCGTCGTAAAATACATATGAATGTATTTTCTCGTCCCATTCAACTAAGTGCTATCTGTTTTCTTATAAATGCACACATACTAAATGTTGCCTTGATATATATATATAGTGAAATCAGGACATTCCAACATAAATGTAGGCATGATACCAGCCCTTCAGTTATCAGCTAAGGAACGTATTGTAAAGAGAGAAGGACAGGAATGCGCGTGCCCTGAAGGCATGGTTCCCGCAATGACGTTGAACACACACATTGAACTTTGTTTGGTAGATAGTTTACGACAATGTCAAGTTAATTCTGTCTTTCAAGGTTACATACCATAGATTTGAATAGGATAGGGTAACACAAAACATCAAACACTATCTTCCGTGAAACGATGTTTCGATTATAAACGACGGCGATGATCGTAACGTTGTCTTCGTAGGGTAGTTTCACCAGCAGTACTTCAGTGATTTATATGACCTTAACAACATTTTACATATATTAACAATATCAAGATACTATTTATTATTATAGTTTAATAAGCAACAAGATCATCTCAAACAACATAACATGACAATACGTATATATTACAACGCTTCACAATTCTGCAGCACAAAAAGATCCCAATGTGACCACTACAAAACACTACACGACATTAATAAATTCAATCGTTGTAAACTGTAGCCAATCTGAATTGAAATACAATGAATCAACACGATATTCTGATGTGGTCACGATTGAGAAATAGACAACACGTACGTAGTTCAATCTAGTCACTCTTCAACAGTACATAACATATAATACAGGGCACGTCCAAATACAACACCACTATAATACAATGCAATATATAATGGCCTTCACCAGACAAATACAATACTTTATTATACCTTACCATACCACACTGCATGGTTTTTTAGAATGAACTTTCGTTAGCAAGTTTAATTACCCTTTTCCTTGATGTGACCTTTGGCAGAAAACGTACATTAAGAATTAACAGGCAGATATAAAGGTTTTCAACAACTGCCAAATGAATAGATTCTGTGATTTATAAAAAAAATAATACGTTTCCATTATTAAGGCCGATTGTTACAGATATTATCATCATCATTCATATTATAATGTTATAAAATACGAAAGTGTTGTACATATGTAGTGTATTTATTACTGATGTATAGTGTCGCTCAGGTAGAAGAAATGTTTGAAGCATGCCGTGTTTTGACATGCAATGCTGTAATAGAAGATATAGAACATATAATCCGGAAATACATTAAAACAGACAGTAAATAGTGGTGAACTATCATGAGCAAGCCGTACAGTAATAAACACAGATAACAATACACTCATCCTACACATTCAGGTGTTGTTAAAGTGAATCTGTTACTACGTGTATTAAGACGGATATTACAGATAAATACACTGTTTAGTGTCTTTGGCAATGCTAATAGACCTTGTGTATTTGTAAATTAATCTCCATTACATTATTAAATTCCTATGACATTGCAGATTGTATTTTACTAGATATGTTTATTATATACAGATAATATTTGCAGAATTTTGAAACGTCATCGATTTTTTATTTATGATCGTGTTTCGTTGCGTAATACAAACATCGTGATATATGAAGCGCACGTTGTTTGTGTGGTATCAATTGAATGGGGATATTATTTAGTGAACAAAACAGATACGCTGGTATGCTGCAGAGATATCAATATGTAAATATCTTCGTGATTTTGTCCTTAATTACATTGCGTTATGTAATCAATGCAGTGAAAGTCGGCCATATTGTTCAAACATAGCTATATAAATAAATGTTTTGGGGATATCTTACAGGTACAATATCTCTTTAAATTTATACCAGGTACACATACAACTTTATCAGCTTTGGTATACAACTTGTAGGAATATTAACGTTTATGTATACTTCTGTCCGGTAGAAATCTCAATAGTGTAATTATAGATTATCACAAAGCGATGGCCTCTCGATTTTATCCACGTGCTCGCGATGAGAAAATTGTTCTCACGACAAACACTGAAAATACTGTATGATAAACTATTTATCATCTATATACTACTACCTTATATATTTCTCCATTTAAAAAACTCAACTAAACACCATGTTTTCCAAATGACTTCTAAGTTCAATGGTCAACGATCGCTTGTCGCAAACGTAAACAAATAGAAGTTTTTTCTCGGAGGAATACAATGAACCTTAAAACTACATAGAAAAGATATTTTTAAAACAATCCTATCGTCATTGGCTTTTACATATGCACATTTACAACTGAAATGGTGTTGTCATTCTCACAATATTTTTCCGTAACGTGGTATTGATATGTCTATGACGGACTGTTTTCTTACGCGGACCACTTTTGTGACAATTCCGGTTTCGGACGTCATCTGGCGCGAGCAGACATTCTTTTCTGGGAAAATACGTTTCTAAGTGCTGGAGAATGGGAACATCCGTTCTCAAGTTCTTCTCAAGTTTTTCTCAAATCATTTTCAACTATTTCTCACACTGACAACCAATGATAATGAATTTATCATGCTCCCGGTAGATGGTATAAAGTAGTCTATAGATGATAAGTTATAATATCACCTAGGTAAATGACTAATGCGGTTGAAGTGAAAGTACCACACAGCCCATTTTCTACAAAAAATGACAGCAATGTGAACTCAAGAGAAATAAAAGGCAGTGTGTGTCGTGTTTAACATGTCACATTGACTTTACGGTATAAATTTACCTACGATTTGCATCGTAATTAGCATTCCGAAGTGAAACGTACCTAGATTAGTTATTATATCGGAACTTGTTCAATATGAATAGAACTTATACAATCAGAAACTGCAGATTAGAAAAAACCATCCGTTATGTTAGAGTCTGTTATTATGTGAAAGTTCATTTGCCTAGAATGGTGCTATGCGACAGGAAAATAACTATCAAATCGCATCAATACAAAATGACGGTTTAAGTTTATATTTGGATTTTTCCCAATTGAATTCATAAATGTTTTTCGTACAACTATTTAATTTCCGAAAGAAAATTGATTCGAAGCGGTCTATCTTCGGCACACAATGTTGCGCAAAATTTAAGAGTGTATATTTGTTTCCTCCATTAAAATGTCATTTTTCATATGTTTGTGAAATATCTGTGACAGGTTTCTTTACTTATTAAACAGCGTGATATAACTAAAGTCAACCTCACAAAGGATTCGTTCCTGGTAGAAATATACAGAATGCGAACAGACAAATACAAGATTTTAATCAATTAAACTGATTCAGAAAATAACGAAGGAGCAATGATTATTTTAGACCAGCAGAAGGCTTCTGATAGGGTCGAATGGAGCAGGGTAGATGTATGCTTAGCTCGCTTTCACTTTGGTAACAAGTTAAGAAATTGGATTAAAATGTTAATTTTCAAAGCAAAAACGTGTTTAATTACTAATGGGTTTATGTCTAAATTTTTCAATATAAGCAAATGTGTAAGGCAGTGATGTCCAGCAACGCATTTAGTTTGCATAATACAAGCAGAGTCTTTGACATGCGCAATTAGGATGAATACACAAATTGAAAAGAGGCTATCTTTTCCAGTGAGGGATATACAAGAATCTGAATTGAACATGTTTGCAGATGACAGTCAATTATTTGTTAGATCTGAAAAATCAATTCATGAAGCTTTCAAAGTACACTCAAAATATGAAAAAAGAGTCGGGTTCAAAAATTAATTATGAAAAGAAAAAAGGATTATATATAGGAAGGTTAAAAAATAAAGAACCAGATTTAATCATAATAATCATAGTAATCTTCCATCATTGGAAATATCGATAGAGATTGTTGCGATGCCTCTTCTTTTTGCTTTATTCGCGTTAATTTTAAACGCCTTACTTCTGGTTGCGCGCATGCTTAATATGTTAAGCAAATCTCTTGAAAAGGGAGTAGTAAAAACCTTAGGAAAACATCATGGCTACAATATAGATAAAGATGATATACGGAGATATTTTAAGAAAATGAAAAATTGCTTGCAAGTCTGGAAAACTAGAGATTTGATTTTTGGTGGCAAAACGCTTATACTTAAATCACTTAGCCTATCAATGATCGGGTTTGAAATAGAGATAAGAGGAATGCCTGCTACCTATTTAAAGGAAATAACCTTAATTATTTTCATATGGAATAACAAAACCAATCAAATAGAAAGAAAAGCACGCTTTCTCAAAAAAAATCGAAGGAACTATGGGCATGATTTACATAGAGACATTTGTTATAGCAAAGTATATATAGAATAATTCATTCACAGGAAGAAAGCTGGAATGTCATAGGGAAGCATTGGTTGTGTAAATATGATCAGATATACCAAGATGAATATTTTCTATGTAAATATACTAATATTGATGGATTAAATTAATGGATTTATTGGATATACATCATTTTATGATATCGCCCTTAAAGCATGTAAAACACTGATTAAGTTGATAGTGAAAATAATATATCAACAACAAAACAACACCATATGCAACATTTAGAAATACTAGACGAAACTGACAAAGTGATAACATGTGACAAACTTAAACTAAGACATATCAAGGAAAAGATTATCTCTAAAATAGTCCTGAAAGCTCAGTCAAAGTGGGAAGTCTACTTCGGGAAAGATTTACCATGGACACCTATATGGAAAAACCTGCATGACACACCCATCACAAACAAAATAAAAAAGCTTAACTGGAAAGGCATACTCAACATTATTTATACGGAAAGTAGACTACAGTGAGAAAATTAGAAGGCAAATGTCACTTTTGCAATGATGATTTAGAAACTCTGAATCATTAATTCTGGTCATGCAAAAAAATAATTAATCAAATTAGAAAAATAATACAAAATAATAAAATGCAAATAATAATAATATATATAATTAATGTAGTTTGTAATGATAACGTCATGTATGAGCAATATGTAAATGTAGTTTGTAACGATATCGTCATGTACGAACAATATGTAAATGTTGTTTATTATGATAGCGTTATGTATGAGCAATATGTAAATATAGTTTGTATTGATAGCATCATATACAATATGTAAACGTTGTTCATAGAAAATAATTACTACACCAGGCCAAATACACCCAAGTGCCAAAAAGTGAAAAAAGGCCAACTCCACTGCTATAATTGTGTTTTATGGTCCGATATCGGTACATTTGCAGCCACGTTACACAGGAGAGCAATTCCAAAATATTGTCAACTTAAACACACATTGAAATCTTTTTAAGGCAGCAAGTAAAACGATTTTCATAAAAAGATAAAAGGAATCGCATCATGAAAAATAACATATGGTGTGATTCTATGATAAAGTTAGAAACCACAGGTAAACAAGTATGTCAAGTGTAAGTAAATAATTTGTTTTATCACTATTTGACAGCCAAAGAGGGATTCTTCAGCAGAGTATAGACTTTAAGCCAGCGGTTATGTATCCTCTGATTGTATTTAGGCACAGGAAATGTCGTCGATATAGATGTGTTCCCGGACCTTGTTGTGTCGTGGAGTGATGATGTGGCGCGGTGCAGATGAACATGGATGTTGCCCGGCAATCTGTGACTGAGCAGGTCACAAAACACTACCAATACAGGATGACAGTGGACCAGTTCCATTTGAAGGAAACTCACGTACGCCATGTAACCTACAAAACACGAGCACTAAAAGCTAAATACATTTTTTTGTAATGATTATTGTTATTTCAGACTGAAATAGAACTAGAGAGGTTACAGTGAGCAACCGACAGTGTACAACCTCCACACACACATCGATAAACCCAATATAAAGGATCAAACAACTAATTAACATGCATCATTCACAAGGTGGCACATTCAGAGCCTACGATATTGTGATGACAAATTCCATTACAGCGTTAGTGAGCGCAAACTCTGGACTTTCGAGAATGTGGACGCATGGTATACAAAGAGACATAACCCTATCTGTATTTCGGCAAGAGACTCGTTTTCAGTACAAGACAATCAGTGACAGTGTAAATGGATGAGATGCCAAGACTGATAGACGAAATACAAACCTGTACTCCCTCGTGTATTACAGGTTAATGTCTAACAAAGATCGAAAAAATCCTATCATAGTTGATTTCTATAGGTATTTAGCGGAACGGTTTATTTCCCTTACCTGTATCCCAAGTCTCAAAACCATTCATGAGTCCGCTTCTGTCTATTCTTCCAAAAAAGACTACACCCAGATAAACGGCGTAAAAAATCTTCATAAGACAGCGGACCATACTGATGAATATGTAGTAGAAGAACACGAAATACGCCATGTTGTGATAGGCTTTTCTACAATGGAAAAAGCGTAAATCCATAATCCCTTAGTATAACGACACATACGCTACGTGTCATATGTACCAGTTATCTATGATTAGTCTCATGCAAATACCAATTAGTAACTAATATTTTCTGTCAGTTAAAAGAGGGCTAATTATTTTGTTTTCATTAAACTATAGGTTGAAACATTTTTTACAAACACATTTTATTTAAATATAATGNGTGAAAATACTAATTCTATTTCTGATGTATGTTGATATTTGTAAATTTCATATTAGAGTTATGTTATTGTTTCACACTTTGAGGGCATTACATCTTTAATGAAGTAAGTCAATGAAAATGTCGTTAGAGGTATGCAATATACAACAGCGTGACGGTTAATACACAAATATATATATATATATATATATATATATATATATATATGAATATGCCAGATGCCGTTTCTAGGGCGCACCTGTTGTTGAGAGCCAAAACGGGGTCCGGCCACTTCGAGTCCTTATTCGTCACTTTGTGGTCCTGTAAAAGCCACTTCCGGGACACGAATGTTTGTAGCCAGTATGTCACAAAGGCAATGACAGATGTCGTTCTGGAACATGACAAAATATGTAATGAATACAAGAGGCCCAGAGAGCATGTATCGCTTACCTGGATATCGAAGCAATTATGGCAAAATATTCTCCAAATGAGATCCAATGGAATAGGCCAGACCACAATGCCAATCCTTGTAGCAATCTGTATTAAATTTTTAATGCCCAGCACTTTTATGTATGGTTATGGGGTGGGGATCTCAACTGTTCCCAAGCTGTGAATAAGAGACTAGGTCCATAGGGTTGTGGCCAGACCCTGGGGTCAATTCTAATATCATGATTGCATTCGTCTCTTTATGCCCAGCATTTATATATATAGTTTTGGGGTGGGGATCATAACCATTTAAAAGTTATGACCCAGGGATTAAGTGTGCAAGGATGGGGCAGAACCTTGGGTCAATTCTAATATCATGACTCCATCTATATATATAGTTTTGGGGTGGGGATCATAACCATTTAAAAGTTATGATCCAGGGGTTAAGTCTGCAAGGGTTGGGCAGACCCTGGGGTCAATTCTAATATCATGATTGCATTCGTCTATTTATGTCTAGCATTTGTATATATGGTTTTTGGGTGGGGATCATAACCATTTAAAAGTTATGACCCAGGGGTTAAGTCTGCAAGGGTGGGGCAGACCCTGGGGTCAATACTTATATCATGACTGCATTCGTCTTTTTATGCCCAGTATTTGTATATATAATTTTGGGGTGGGGATCATAACCATTTAAAAGTTATGAACAAGGGGTTAAGTCTGCAAGGGTGGGGCAGACCCTGGGGTCAATACTTATATCATGACTGCATTCGTCTTTTTATGCCCAGTATTTGTATATATAATTTTAGCGTGGGGATCATAACCATTTAAAAGTTATGACCCAGGGGTCACGTCTCCTCGGGTGGGGCAGACCCCAAAGCCATCCTCGAAGGGTATGTGCATTCATTTCTTTATATTCAGCAATTGTATACATGGTTAGGGGTCGGGATCTCAACTGTTTCAAAGATATAACCCAGATACTAAGTCCCTAGGGATGAGGAAAGACCTCAGGGCCTATTTTTACATCATTATTGTGTTTATCTATTGATGCCAAGAGATGCTATGTATGGTTATGTGGTTGGGATCTCAACTGTTTCAATGATATAACCCAAAAACGAAGTCCCTAGGGATGAGGAAAGACCCCGGGGCCTATTTTTACATCATGATTGTGTTTATCTCTCTTGATGCCCGGCAATGTTATATATGGATATCGGGTAGAGATCTCAGCTGTTTCAAAGATATAACCCAGAAACTAAGTCCCTAGGGGTGGGGAAAGACCCCATGACCTATTTTTACATTATGATTGTATTTATCTCTTGATGCCCAGCAATGCTATATATGGTTATGGAGTGGGGATTTCAACTGTTTCAAAGATATAACCATGAAACTAAGTCCCTAGGGATGGGGAAATACCCCAGGGCCTATTTAAACATCATGCTTGTGTTTATCTAGTTTATCTAAATTCAAAAGAGAGCTAGTTGATGCTTATAATTAAATGTGCCATTACTCTCTCCTACTTGAAAGAGTAGAGAAGATTTTTAAAGATTAACCTATTTTTTACCTCTCTGACCCGCCCCTCAGGCCCCTGGGAGAGCAGCCCTATACATTTCATAAATTCAGATCCCCATTTCCTAATGATGTCCCATGTCAAGTTTGGTCAAAATTAGCTCAGGAGTTTTGAAGAAGAAGTTTTAAATGTAAAAAGTTGACGGACGACGGACGAAAGACGACAGACGACGGACGACGGACGCCGGACGCTGTGGTATGCCATAGGCTCACTTGGCCGTTCGGGCGAGGTGAGCTTAAAACCAACCTCACAAAATATGTAGATAATATATTATTCATCACACAAAAGGATGACAATGGGATAAGATCCGACTACAACTACAATATTATAATCAATAAATGATGCCAAAAGAATCACAGAAAAACGGTGTTAAGAAAAATATCAACCTCTTCCTAAAAGGAGACCAATATAAACCTCCCCTCAAAGGAAAACCAATATCACCTTCCCCCTCAAAAGGGAAACCGATATAACCTTCCCCTTGAAAAGGAAACCAATATTTACCTTCTCTCAAAGGGAAACAAATATCATCTTCCCCCTCAAAGGGAAACTAATATTAACCTCCCCCTCAAAAGGAAACCAATATCACCTTCCCCCTCGAAGGGAAACCAATATCGATTTTCCCCTCAAAGGGAAACCAATATCACCTTCCCCCTCAAAGGGAAACCAATATCAACTTCCCCCTCAAAAGGAAACCAATATTAACCTCCCCTCAAAAGGAAACTAATATTAGCCTCCCCTCAAAAGTAAATCAAAGTAAACCTCTCCTCAAAGGGAAACCAATATTAAACCTCCCCTCAAAGGAAAACCAATATTAACCTTCGCTCAAAGAGAAACCAATATCACCTTCCCCTTCAAAGCGAAACATATACATGATACTAATTTAAAAAAATCATACCTGATATTGACTTCAGTAAAACGTAATTAACACATTATCTATTATCGGGAAAGGTACCTGTAAACCACTAATATCAAATCAATCCAGACGAAGATAACAGTTAACAAAACAGTATATCAACTTCGAAAAAAATCGTTACCAATGAGATAACATTAGACCTCAAAGACAACAGCAGGAGCTAAGGTGATACGAAGTCATGTAACCTTATCCTATTATTACCAGTTTAGTTATTGTACAGTTTAACCTGTCAAAACCGGCCCCTGTCTAATTCGGATCCTGACTAAACCGGCTGTTATTTGTGGTCCCGGCATATTCCCTATACAATCATTGTAGTTGAAACCTGTATAAACCGGACCATGTCCATTCCGAAAACCGGCGTTATTTCACAAAAGTTGGCATAGTAATCTATGTAAAAACAACCTGTTTATTCCGGACTAAAGATTCTCTCGGCCGGCTACAATCTAAAGCAAACACATTTAACAAATCAGCGCTATCCAATGTTGGGTCGCCCTTTATTTGTATTATATACTGTATATTTTGTAAATAATTAGACGTTGCAATTGATTCGTTTCCCTGTATCCAATAGATACATGTATGTGAATTATTCACGCGGTATGACAAAGATTACTTACATGACTGTCAGAAAGGGATTAAGGACGATCATGGGTACATCACCCAGAATTGGTAGTACTATTGCATATGCAACACATATGCAGACCATCAACAGGACACCCAACTGTATCACGTAGCCTGTAAAGAGAGTCGTTTATTTTAGAGCATGTGTTTAAACAGCTAAACATTTAATATGGTAAGAAACTATAAAAGTACACCATAGCGTCAACTACAAAGAAAGGAACCTCATAGTAGTGTACACCTTATGATGTATCTTATCCAATTTAGGTAAAGTTTTCGGTGTCCAGCTATCAATTGTCTCCTGATAACGTTAGACATAGACATGATTGTTCAGAATCAAGTCGTCATGACGACTGTTAAATGTATCTAGTTCAGTATTGATTTCATTTCTGTTAGTTAACCCTAGATACCCCATTTATTGGTCAACAGGACGCATTCACCCGCAAAATATCTATACGTTTAACAGACGGTCAGAGTAACAAATCCATTAATGAATCAATAAGTGGTATGTGCAATCCTTAATAAAAGGAAGACTCGCGGTTATATTGAGTATGGTAACAAAATGACCATAATTGTCATACCTTAGTATGACTGAATTTAAAAATATTTATTTAATGTACATGAGTTTGACAAGGCTATAGCCTATGGGAGGGGGGAAATTAAGACCTTTGGAAAAACATAGGAATCATGGTCGAATATCTTCATACCCTAAAGCTAAAAGTACAACAAGCCTATAATATCTTATTTTAAATCCTCTATGGGTAAAGCAATTAATAAATCTAGCTGAAACCCGAGAATACTCAAGAACTATATATAATATATATAACAGCAATTAAGTATATATTTACATACAGTATTGAATATTCTAAATTATATATGTATATGTATAGGTATTTGATATTCTATATGCAAAATGCTGTGAGATGAAACTGATGCTAGACATATAATCTTATAAAATTAAAAAGAAATCACATGAAATATATAAATCACATGAAAAATATAACTATGTGTATACATGTTTATGTCTTTTGGTTTGTTTGTGTATGTTTATGCATGTATGTATGTATGGATGGATAAACTTGCACATTCTTAGGCATGTATTGGATATATGTGTATATATGTGGATATCTGTGTGCATGCATGCGTGCACGTGTATGCATGCATATGTGTATATATGTTTGAGCATGCATATATGTAAGTATGCATTCTCGATTTACACATGTATATATGTTCTGATGACTCCCCTTGCAATAATGCTGTGTAGTAATGAAACAGTTTAGAGATAAAAAGTGACACATACTGAAGTATTGTTTTTGGTTTGGATTATTGCATAAACTACATGTATTGATTTGTGTTATGTTCATGCATGTAGGAATGTGTGTATGTTTACAATATTCTCATATGTCATGTCTCAGTAAATGTAAGTGTGTTCAGTATACATATGTGTGTTGCTGTGTGTTAGGGCTGACGCAATATCGAAAAACAGGTATATCGCAATACACGGGTATATTGTAATGTACCACAATACAGAGATGAAATATGCTTTTAAATCTGTTTTTCATGTATCTCACCTGCTTGGTAATCTAAGTTTGCATATTACTACAAATTCTAACAGATATGCCAATAAGCATACAAAAGGCTTTTAATAGTGGTGGGAACTAGTTCAAATTTTGTAATCGATAGTTGGTTTGAAAAAATCTTAAATCCATGTGATCCATATTATATATGATCAAGTTTGATAACATTCTGACATCGACTTATCATAAAATCGAGCACATCTTTCCTATGACAATATATCGGGATACGTATCGCAATATATTCATTCTGTATTGCGATATATCGTGATACACTCTTGGCGTATTGTGACACCCCGTGTGTGTATGTGTGTGTGCTTGTGTACATATGTAAGTATAAATACTATGTATGTATGTACTATATATATCTATATATTATATATGTATGTATGTTATGTATAAGTGTGTGTGTTTGTGTATATTTATATTTCTATGTAAAATGTATATGTATGTTTCTGTCTGAAAAAAACAGGGTGTTGTAGTGAGGTGATCGTTTACTCTCTACTACTTGCATACATAACTGTCAATACATGTTGCATAGATTGGTCGTTAAATAACCATTATTTACAAGTTGTCGGTTAATGTACATGTAATTAAGGTTTTGTAATAAGGTGCAAACGGTAAACGTCGTCGTTTGTAGGAAAAGTAACCGTTCTATGCATTCTGTGGGTAAATGTCACAGAATTTAGAAGCCAAGGTAGCACTGCTATTGATTGCGGCAGTTTGGTAGTGAGGTGACCGTTCATGTTATATGACAGTATGTAGGTAAATATTATAGAACTTGGAAGCAATGTAATCTCTGTTGTTAAATGCAGCAGTTTGGAAGTGAGGTGACCGTTCTTGTTATATGATAGTATGTAGGTAAATATTATAGAACTTGGAAGCAATGTCATCACTGTTGTTTAATGCAGCGGTTTGGAAATGAGGTGACCGACATTTTAATACTGTAGGGAAATGTTCATAACTATGGCAGTGAGGAGAGTTTTATTTATATATTTATACGCTGTAGCTAAAAGTCATGGTTTGGCATTGTATATAAAATGATTTGCATTACGTTAGTATATGTACTACTGGTAAATATCAGCGATTGAAAGAGAAATGACATTTTTTGTCAAACTTTGAGTTACGTAACAGAATTTGTTAGAGAGGTGACAATAATTGTCACAATGTAGATATATATGTTAAATAGTTTGTTAGTGAGGTAAACATTATTCTCATTTGTTAATTTATGAGTTAGGTGACCGTTATTTGTATAATGTCAAGATTTGAAGTTGCTGAGGAACAGTTTGCTGTATATATCAAAATTACAATTGTTTAGGGTAAATAAGATGGAAATTAAATCACATTTGCGAGAAGGCGAGGAAAGTCTATTAAGCATTCATTTTCATGAAGGCACTTGTTAAGAAACGGTGGTCATTTTGCTAAATTGAATTGTCTCAAACAGATAAAAAAACCGCTTAATTTAAATGTTTACAGTATCATTATGTTATACAACAAGAAATAAAATACTCACTCCAAAAGAGGTAGGCTATCTGGATACCAGAATAATGCAAGCTATTTGTCTGAAAGACAGAAACAATTCCATTTTGCAGATAAAAAAACAATTAAGAACATTGTGAATCTCTCTCTCATAATTCCAACACAATACATGTTCCCTAGCTATGGTCCAGACACCATGGTAACTTCATTTGATTTTTCAAATGATCTGCCCTTACCATTACTGTAACAGCCGATTGTTGACGAGCCTCGATAGGAACACAAGAAAAATCCCCTTTATACAGTGCCTCCAAGTTCTTCCGATAGGAGATCATAATTTGAAAAATGACGACACCTGACATCAGAGTTGTAATTGTGAAGGAAACGTAGAAAGACGCTGTGGAGGATAACATTGATTAATGTAGAAAGATGATGAGGAGTATAATAATGATTATAAATAGTGCATGGACCATGAGCACATGTTGCATATTATGTACTCATATTAGTATATTGGGACCTAACATTTTGAAATAGTTAGTCTAACTTTTAATTGGAAATAACTATACCTCACTGAAAAAACGTTGCAATGGTAACAAATAACACATCAATCATAACTGTTTAGTTTGAATTATATACAAAACAAGACATTGTGCTACTCAAGATCTACCTAATCCATCAACGGTATTAACACTGTGACATAATATCGTACAGGACAATGTGTGACACAATTTAATTTATATTATTACTTTGGCGTATGTTTCTTACCTTTTAGAACATTAAAACCTGTAATATGATCGAAGTTTGGACTAAAAATAGAGTCGGTTGTGTTCTTCGATATGAGTTCTTCTACGTACTGAATTAAAAATGTTCCTTCTCCCAACACAAGTGTCGATATCTGAAATAAAACAACAATTGCTGTATACGGGCTGGCATACAAACATAAATGATAAAACGATCCTGATGTCATTATGGATTTATTGAATATCAGTGATGAAAACAAAAATACAATAATCCAATTTATTTCATAGTTAAACCAATAAATCCAAGGAAAATTATAGTATAGCGAAATGCATGATGAAAAGAGTAAGCTAGTAACAAATATGTTACACAAATGCATATGTTTAAGGTAAAAGCAGTGTAAATGGTGAATAACAAATCACTTACAGGAAACCAGGAAAGCTTTAATGTAAACAAAAGAAAATTAACTGTGAAGAACACCCCTTGAGTTAATATACAGCTAGGGTGATGTGAGGGTTGTAAAGTGAGATGGTGAAATGTCGTGTCGTAAGGTATATCGATAGTTTTGTATGCTCGGTTTCAAAAAAAACCTACGCAAACAAACCCTCAACCAGGATGGGCTAGGGACTGATTCGCTACTGAGGTCGTGCATCAGAAACATAAACAAAAGGGGAAATATTTTTATTATAAATTGCAATAGACATCATTAATACAACGGGATGACACCATTCTTTCTAAAGGTTAGATATACAACGCAACAAAAGGAGGGAGTACTTTATGAAAAACACAAAAGGAGGCCAATACTCGTGTATTGTGTAATGTCTAGGAATGTCTGTCCTTCGCCAACGTGATCAAAAAAAAAAAAAAAAAAGGATTGGGTATCATAGACACAAACATACGAGAAACCGCCTCACTGACATAAGGGAAGGCAACTCTGCTATATTTGTTCATCATCACATATGCACAAAGGAATGCAACTCTAGTAGAAATGACACACAAACTAAATGAGAGAAAATCCGCCAATAGAAAGAAAAAACTGGGCATTTAAAGAAAGCAATTGTTGAAAATGTGTAGTTTGACATATCTAAATAGGAAAGCGATTGAAATACACTGTGAACTTAAATATAATTTCTCCAATATAAATGGTATCTCACATTGGTCCACTGCAGAAAGACCACAAGAGCTTTTGTAAAATCTTTTTTATTAGGTTTTGAAAATCATGCACTGTCAGAAGTTTAGAAAGACAATTAATGCAGTCAGTTTTTGTTTCTTTCGTGATCTCATTGAAAGAAAGCAATATTGTTTCTGCTTTAAGCAATAATGATGACATGGAATTTATTCATTATTACAAGCTTCATTTTTCACTCAATTAAAAAATCATAACGTAATTAACTCCAAGTAGGTCAGTAGAAAGTGCTTTAGTAGAGGTGAAAGTTTGCTAGCACTCGACGTGAGCGTATACATACCTGATACAGACAGATGAGTGCCACGGTAAAGGTGACGACCATGTGATGTGAATACCTGAATGCTCTGTCCCCTTTGTAGCTCAGTTGTATGGTGTCGACAAATCTGGATATGTATTTACTGAAAGAAAACTCACACACTTAAAAGATCAGTTATAAACAATATTCAACCAAAATTATCTTTACAAAACTGACAAGTGATGTTGCACGCTTCCGGCTATATCGGTCCGCATTCTGGTACAATATTACAATAGTTAACCCATAGTTTGGTTCCATGTTCGCCTGGAAATCGGAAATCATTTGTTTTGATTGTGTGGGGAATAAATTGATGGCGAATTAATCGATGGAATAACACAATTTAATAAACAATTAAAATGATAGAAAATGATAATACTATAGATCGGGAAATTTTCGTCGAAGTTTTCGTCTTTTTCACCCACAGCAATTAGGGCGAATTTATCATAACAGCGAATATTAGTACACAGCATACCCTATATAGCATTTACATGTTAAGGACGAAAGTTATATTGGGCTAATATAGATTATACCGTTGCAGGGCGAGTTTTCGACTGGGGGAAATTTGCCCGGTATTCAGTAGTTTTTTAACCGTTCCTTGTTCGTCCAAGCTTCTTAAGCAGAAGACAACATAAGTTTTTTTGGAACACGATGGAAGCTGTAACTCAGCCACAGACTTGTTCGCGAATGAGGGTAATCACAGAAAGCAAGAAAGAACTGTTTTAAGACATTTAGCGAGTAGATTGTGAGAAGCTGATCCAGCTCAGAGTGATCTTATTGCAATTTTATGATGATATGTCAGTAATTCATGTATTTTGACAAATATATCAAGTCAACAAAATGGTTCATTACATCAAATATTAGCCCTATTGATATTTATTTTTTTCAGGAAGTAAATGTGCAGCTTGTTGGACGAGTCTGTCTTTCATGCGAACAGTTTGGTAAGATGAATTCATCTCTGTGGACAGTAAGATTTTTGGTGAAGCTGTTTGCGCTCTGTACAGCAATTTCCCCCCGAAACCGTTGTTGAATTAAATCTGCTTATGAATGATTATTTAAGTCCTTCGCCATCACTTTCCCGCGATTGTGGTGTTTTTTGCATAGTTTTTCATTACATTATATGGGAGTTATATGTTCTCATACAGGACTCGGAGACTTTTAATTGACAAAGGTGGTAGTCCCCACCATTATGATATTTTCTACATGACTTAAGAGATAGATAAACTTACCCGGATGTTGTTGGTTCGTCTGTTCTCATGAATAGCTCTCTGACATGCTGAATCTGTTTTGAGTTGGCTAAGCGGTCTCTCTTCAAATAATGCATATCATATAATGGAAAATAATTAATGTTAAGTTTTCTATAACTGCTTTTTAAGTGATGCAGTTTGCATATATTATGTGAACTGTTTTAAATAATCATAACATTCACATTACAATTACATTTTACAATATAGGTCCTGTATGAGAGCAGGGTTGAATACATACGTACATAATTTATGCATATTAAAACAAAGCAATCGTACTACTTACTTTGTTTGTACAGGTGGGGACCTGTTCCCTATGTATTAGTCCAAAGTTTCGCTAGAATTAATAGAAGAAATGCACTGATCATACTTCAGTGATTGTCCGTTGATTAAACACGCTTATATTGATTGTATATCTTACAGTCAAATATTTCCATGAATAATGAAAGCATAACTTTAATAAACCAATGGTTTTAAAATAAGGTTAAATGTGACCAATTGGAAAAAGTGATATAGGTGCATCCGGCATGGTATTTCCGTGATGTAGCACTCTAAAATGGTGCTGTTAGGACACTTAACCCAATAAAACAAAACCCAAACCTAACAATCAAGCTTATATAAAGAATGAAGCACTTGAGAAATGTGAAACAAGTAGACAAACGATCCCCTGCACGCACCTGTCTACACGCCCGGACAGTGGTCTTTACGTCAGTCGCAAACATACAGAGGAACCGGAGAGCGAGATAGAAAAGGCACAACGAATGTGGTATGGCCAGCATTATTAATGTCATCGTCCAGATCTTAATAAAACAAAACACGTACATACTAAATCATTTTTTTTTTATTAGACACTTTTCATCTAATACATTGCACTACAAAAAATAGCGAAAAGTTAATTCAATATGATAAAAAGCTGTGGAAATATATCGGTTTAAAGTAATTCGATGTTTTATAATTTGGTCATTGTGCACTTCAATGAGATCAAGGCAACTTCTTTTCAATAGTATTTTTTAAACCCAGAATCCAGGCTTGTGGCGGAACAAATGTCAAGACCCTTTTGTCTGCTGGTGCTGGAGGAGCTGTATTTCAAGATGTTATATTATAACATCTGGATATATCTTAACATTTCCAACTTAAAATTACAGATCCCTGCATTGTTGTAGCAAACAAGTTAGATTTCCGTGGCTGCACTTAACATTATTGACGTTATTTCCCATTGATGTATATATAGAGTACAACACTGTTGGACCGAATAAAGACTTCATCAGTAAATGTTCTTTTCAATCAAACAAAGATATTGTAACGTGACCGGCTAGAGGATTCCACAACAAATACTTCAACATCAAAGTTCTATTTGCATGTTTATTTACAGTTTGTACATTGCATTACAACTTTCCCTACATAGTCAGAATAACACCCGAGAGGATCACACAGCTAGCAATCCGCAGCTCCAATGTAACAATACAATGTTTACATGTCTGTATTTCCCGGAGTGAATTTCTACCTGTTCTCCACGAACCCCAATCTGGTCTCCCCTACCTTCCCATTACTCATTTGTACATGAGGCCATTCTGCAGCAGTGACAGCTCCCATGACCTTAAAGGTCAATCTCCCCGGCTAAGCCATATGTCAGTCTACCTTCTATCAGCACGGTCCCCCTCCCAGTGTCTCAGTCTACCTGCTATCACCACGGTACCCCTCCCAGTGTCTCCGTCTGCACTTTATCAATGTGCCCTACAAAACAATTTCTCTGGTCTAAGATAGACAATTATAGCTACACACATATCAAATCATCACAACATATATGCAACAACTTCATATTTGCCTCAAAACCCACCAAAAAATTGAATAGTTATTGTAATTTTATTTATTTCTATTGGTTTAACCTTTATTTAGATTGCTTATTGGTTTTTACTTACCCACTCTGAGGTCGGCAAGCATTCGCTATAATCGTTCATTGGCAGTAAAGATATAACAAGACTGCAAATCAGAACACACAATTTGAAATGGATAAGATATCTGGAACTTTTATACATAACACTGAAACGAGAAAAGCTGAGAAAAACTTACAGCAAACACCAATGGTGTTATAACATGCTAAGTTATCTTGCTAGTAGATGGAAAGAATTATTAATAGCAGTTAAGTACTGCTTGAAATCAAAACTGAAAACGAAACTAATTTCAGAATTTGTTATTGATGTTAAATTCTAATTATACATGTACACGTTTGTTACATATATATCTATAAAAAGAAAGAAGGGATAACACACAGAGATTGCGGGTCTGGTGTTAATGGATATGTGGATAAGGAAGAAGTAAAATGTCATTGATTAGAAAGGAGTGGTGGTGGGTGGTGTTGTACGTTACACCCCGCCGTAGATCCATGTTTAGTTACATTGTTCTGCACTGCTGGCTAGGGTGACACCGCCGAACCGATAAGAAAGAACAGGAAATGTACAAGGTTACCCAAAAAGGAAAACTTTTTATAGAAAAATGTTAACATTTAGTATTGAGTTTCTCGAACACAATTTTGTTATTATAATTAAACTAAAGATATATTTAGCCTTCATTTTATGCATTTCTTGGGCGCATCAGCGCGTGTGTCTTTTTATAGATTTTTTTTAGTTGAGTCATGTATACTTTAAAATGTTAGCTTCAAGTTGCATAAAACTTTATAATTTCCTATTTAGAATAGATATCATTTATTTGTGTAGAAAAATAAAAATAGCTGCAACATAAAGGTGAAAAGCGTTCCTTTTCGGACACCGTTCAGTTTTGGGTACCCTCATTTTAGAGAGAAAAGATATTAAACGTACATTTATTTCAATGAAACATTGAAAAAACTGGAGTTTGGGTTTTTTTCCTAGTAGAAGGCATTGACGACGCTATGTACAATATAGGGTAACTGGTATATTACCATACGGTTGCATAGCCGAGTCCGATGGTAGAGTGTACGAATCTGAAGGTGGGCGCCAAGCAAACAAACAAAGGGTAATATGTGGTTCCAATGACAACAGCACTCGCCATGATCCGTAAGTCTGTAAATACATTATAGTGTATTAGCCAGACTGGATTGTTTTTACATCATTCATTTCTTACGTTTACTTATTTAATATTAAGCTATAGTAAAATTATCATTTAAAGATTCATGTTTGGTTTAAAACAGTGACGACTGCTTTGTGATTTTCAGAAATTTGCAGTCACGGTGTTGGTCATTTGTAATATTATTGTGCGTACTCGTACTCATGCTACGTTTGTAAGGTGATGACTATAAAAATGTTACGTATGTAAGGTGATGACTATAGAAATGTTACCTTTGTAAGGTGACGACAATGGAAAAAGGGAACGTTTTTAAGGTGATGACTATGGAAACGTTACGTTTGTAAGGTGATGACAATAGAATTGCTACGTTTGTAAGGTGATGACTATGGAAATGTTACGTTTGTAAGGTTATCACTTTAGAAATGTTACGTTTGTAAGGTGATGACAATGGGAAATGTTACGTTTGTAAGGTGATAACTGTGGAAATATTACGTTTGTAAGGTGATGACTATAGAAATGTTACGTTTGTAAGGCGATGACTATAGAAATGTTACGTTTGTTAGGTGATGATTATAGAAATGTAACGTTTGTAAGGTGATGACTATAGAAATGTAACGTTTGTAAGGTGATGACTGTGGAAATATAACGTTTGTAAGGTGATGACTATAGAAATGTTACGTTTGTAAGGCGATGACTATAGAAATGTTACGTTTGTTAGGTGATGATTATAGAAATGTAACGTTTGTAAGGTGATGACTATAGAAATGTAACGTTTGTAAGGTGATGACTGTGGAAATATAACGTTTGTAAGGTGATGACTATAGAAATGTTACGTTTGTAAGGCGATGACTATAGAAATGTTACGTTTGTTAGGTGATGATTATAGAAATGTAACGTTTGTATGGTAATCACTACGGAAATGTAACGTTTGTAAGGTAATCACTATAGAAATGTTACGTTTGTAAGGTGATGACTATAGAAATGTTACGTTTGTAGGGTGATGACTATAGAAATGTTACGTTTGTAAGGTGATTACTGTAGAAATGTAACGTTTGTAAGGTGATGACTATAAAAATGTTACGTATGTAAGGTGATGACTATAGAAATGTTACCTTTGTAAGGTGACGACAATGGAAAAAGGGAACGTTCTTATGGTGATGACTATAGAAACGTTACGTTTGTAAGGTGATGACAATAGAATTGCTACGTTTGTAAGGTGATGACTATAGAAATGTAACGTTTGTAAGGTTATCACTTTAGAAATGTTACGTTTGTAAGGTGATGACAATGGGAAATGTTACGTTTGTAAGGTGATGACTGTGGAAATATTACGTTTGTAAGGTGATGACTATAGAAATGCTACGTTTGTAAGGTGATGACTAAGGAAATGTTACGTTTGTAAGGTTATCACTTTAGAAATGTTACGTTTGTAAGGTGATGACAATGGGAAATGTTACGTTTGTAAGGTGATGACTGTGGAAATATTACGTTTGTAAGGTGATGACTATAGAAATGTTACGTTTGTAAGGCGATGACTATAGAAATGTTACGTTTGTTAGGTGATGATTATAGAAATGTAACGTTTGTATGGTAATCACTACGGAAATGTAACGTTTGTAACGTAATCACTATAGAAATGTTACGTTTGTAAGGTGATGACTATAGAAATGTTACGTTTGTAGGGTGATGACTATAGAAATGTTACGTTTGTAAGGTGATTACTGTAGAAATGTAACGTTTGTAAGGTGATGACTATGGAAATGTTACGTTTGTAAGGTTATCACTTTAGAAATGTAACGTTTGTAAGGTGATGACTATAGAAATGTAACGTTTGTAAGGTGATGACTGTGGAAATATTACGTTTGTAAGGTGATGACAATAGAATTGCTACGTTTATAAGGCGATGACTATAGAAATGTTACGTTTGTTAGGTGATGATTATAGAAATGTAACGTTTGTATGGTAATCACTACGGAAATGTAACGTTTGTAACGTAATCACTATAGAAATGTTACGTGTGTAAGGTGATGACTATAGGAATGTTACGTTTGTAGGGTGATGACTATAGAAATGTTACGTTTGTAAGGTGATTACTGTAGAAATGTAACGTTTGTAAGGTGTCGAATATGACGTTTGTAATGTGAAAAGTGTTTTGGTTGTAAGAAGTTTGAAACGACGTTTGACATGTAAAGTTTGATTTTTTTTTCGATTTTAGCAACTCCCCAAAACTAATTGGGCAAAATAACACCAATATCTTTGTAATGTGACAGTGAAACGATTGCTAGATTATTTACTCAATATAGCTAGAATACAAATAATGCGCCCTCTTCCCATTTGGTTTGATTTCTTCGCATTTTGTCGTATCGGATAAATGCAATACTTACAAAATTCAAAAGCTGACAACTGCTCGGAAGTAGTGTTTTTCTGAGAATTGATGTCTGTCACGAGGAGATTAAAGATGGAGGAGGTTGTACAGCCGAACGCTGCAGCGTACGAAAGCCTTTCCCGGTCCCCGTCCAACAAATTCACAGGTCTATGAATACAGCGAAATAAAACTAAGTTCATATGTCTATGAATACAAGGACGAAAGAAGAAATTCGCATGTATATGACAACAGCGACACTAAAACAAAGTTAAACAGAAACATGTCAAAATGACCATGAAAGTCACCCCATCTCCTGTATAATCATTTTCAGTATAATATATCATTGACCAATCTACAACTGACAGATTTCCACCTGTCAAGCAAAATGGTTTAACAATGACCAGGTGTATACATATGCACACACGCTGTTAAGGTAAACATGCCAACACATAGATATAAAATGGAAGCATGTGGCTGATTTATTATGATTTATGACTATAAAACACAAACACTGCAAATAATTTCATTTTTTTTCTCTGACATTCCCTGGCCTTCTGCATCCCGATTTCAAGGATTTCCATATTCAAACAGGCTGTTCCTTGTTGCCAATGTACCAGGATGAGCTATTTTATCTGTTAAAATGAAGAAATAAAATAGATATAAGATAACTGAACATGTTTATTGGAGCAAACCATTCTCAACAAAACCAAAGGCTGATAATTTAGGAATTTTCCATCTCTATCATTAGTTTGTACTGGTATTGTATTGGTTGGTATTTATCTCCATATCATTAGTTGATAAATCTCAGTAAAAATCATTAATTGGTAAAAATGTCAATATATGAGGATTTAAGATGGCAGCCATACTGAGAGGTCCTACTAGTTAAGCTCTGCAGAGTTTTTGGTCATATCCACTGTCATAAATAATATTTATTACAAAAATGTATACCATAATGTGTATAAAGATATTGAGTCACCATCTGTGAAGGTTTTGTTTTGAAAAAGTGCAAAAATAAGGACTTATTGATGATAGATCTCCACATTCTACATATTGTGAATTTTCAATGATATCTTCTCCCCTTCCAAGGTGTGATACCTGGCTGGACGTTTACCAGCTTGAATACTAGGGAAGGGAATAGAGTTGCTCTAACACTTCAAAACAAATGAAACTTACTGAGGGAAGTGATACAGAGAGTTTTACAGGAACAAGAGGAACTCAGGGACATTAAAACCTCAATAGAAAGGCTAAGTACAACTTCAGAAATAAAGAAGATTGTGGAAAAGGCTGTAGCAGAGGTGATGAAAAATTCCTATGGAAAAATGAAAGAAGAAATAACAAGAGATGTAATAACAGCGACAAAGGAATTGATGAGACATGAAAGTGACATAGTTAATGAAAAAGTAAAAGGGCTGGAAATGGCCAAAGCCAATATTCAGGATTAGATGGTTAAAAGAGAAGAGACTCCATGAAATTCGGAATATCCTTGTTCATCAGCAGAGGCAATTAGACCTGGCAGAGGTAGCAGCAAGCAAAAATTAACAATATTCCAGGGGAAAAAAATAAATCTATGTGTGAGGGATGTGTTCCGACAGAAACTTGACCAGATAACAGGTGTAAGAATTATTGGATACTATAACATTGTGGACATTTATCGCTTACCAAGTTCATCCTCACCTAGACCTGTTATAGTGAAATATTTTAACCATTATATAAAAACGATGGTTATGAAAAACAAGTAAACATTACGTCGAGCTGGGCTTAGAATAATACATGACAAAACAAGGCCCAATGTAAATCTTATAAAAGCAGTAGGAAACAATGAAAACATTGAGTACAGTTGGTTCTTTAATTGCCAACTTTGCACTGTGACCAAAAGACGGGTGAATAGACTAAATGACAGCATTTTGTCACAATACATTAAAAAAATTACTATCAAATATATTTTGTAAGTAAGATATCACCAATATGCGAGTATTAACTAAAAGAATGGTCAGTTATCTAATACTCAACGTCAGGGCACAATTCCTAAGGCAAAAAAATCAAAATATTTCATAAGAATTTGGCGGCCTATCTCTCTTTTAAATATTGTGTACAAAATCGCATCTAGATCTATAGCTAGTAGACTTCAATTAGTTTTAGAAAAATTGATATAAACTCAACTCAGACAGGTTTCATATCAGGACGTTATTTAGGGGGGAAATACTAGGCTCATCTATCACATCATGCAATATGCTGAAGAAAATAATATCCGTGGAATGCAATTATTTATTGATTTTGAAAAAAACCCGTTCAATTCGGTCTCTTGAAAATGTAACGATAAAGTTCTTAAGTACTTCAAATTTGGGTATGAGTTGAAAAATTGGGTAAAAATATAACATTCTAATCCTTGTTCTGCAATTAATCAAGGGGGGGGGGGGGGGGGGGGGGGCAACTTATCATCGTTCTTACGCTGCTGTCGCCAAGGCGATCCAATCACACGTTACATTTTTATACTTTGTGCCGTAATATTGGCAATTCGGATAAGAAATAATAATTATCACTGACTGGTAGCAATATTGATGACATTCAGATTCTAAATTCTCAATATGCAGACGACACTTCTTTAATACTAAATGGAACAGAAAAATCTTTGAAGTGATCTGTTGAGGAACTAAATTTGTATGCTAAAATTTCTGGTCTAAAAGTAAATACAGAAAGCTAGTAGACTTCAATTAGTTTTAGAAAAAGTTGTTTGGATAGGTAGGAAAAAGTATAGTAGAAATGTAGATTTACAGAGAATTTCTAAAATAAGTTTAGATAAAAAAATTGTTAAACTTAAATCTTTAATCATGGATGGAGTAAAAGAAAGCTTACTACTATTGGGAGAATAAACATATTGGGTTTTATTGACTCTCTAAAAATCAGTTGGATTAGAAGGATATCTTGGTCTGAGGGAAAACGGCGTATGATTTTTAAAAAACCAAGTTAACTTTAATGTCCTAGCTAATTGTGGTAGTGAGTATTTAATCAAGATTGGGACTAATTGTACAAATATATTTTTGAAAGGATGTTTTTAAGGCATGGCATAGACTTAGCACTAAAGTAAAAATTGCATAGAAAGGAGGATCATTCCTTATTTAAGACACCGATATGTTATAGCAAAAACATAACTAATGGAAATAATGACATTTTCTATAGAAATTGTTTCAAAAAGATTATTGCGATTATCATTGAATTAATTAAAGATATAAGAGCTTGTTCCTTTTTCTCTTTCAATGAATTTTGTGCTATTCATGGTTCAATCTTCAGTATCAAGGAGTGATAATGAGCATAAAGAAAAACCTTAATAATCACAATGTACCAAACAAGATGCTGAGTTATCCAATCATACCATTAAATCTTGAAGTAATTTTAAGAAATTGAAAAGGGTCACAGGAGTTCTATAAAGTTCTTATTCAAAATAATATCACTGAAACAAGACAAAATAAATCGGAAACTGTTTTTGATTATAATAAGGAAACATGGAAAAAATTATATGCTGTTCCATTCAGAGTAACACATAACACAAAGTTACAATGATTACAAATTAGAATAAGTCACTACATTTTAATAACAAATTCATATTTATTTAAGATTGGACAAATAACCCTCTCTGTGTTTATGTTTAGGTTTATGGAAAGGGAGACAATTATTCATATCCTATGGGAGTGCACGGAAGTACAAAGCTTTTTGACAAATTTTGAAAATCTTTTAAATGCACTTGCCATTCCCTTTTTAATAAATTAAGAAAATAATATTTTTGGATGTATCGAGCAAGCAGGAATATATAATAGAATTGACAAAGAAATTATTCTTATTGTTAAGCATTATATATACAAAACTAGATGTTTGCACAGCTCACTTAATGTTATGGCTCTAGTACATTTTATTAAAGAGTATTACAATGTTCAGAAATATATTGCTTATGGTAAAGGGGAACAATATATCAATAAGTTTACTAATGAATGGCGAAAATGGATGAAAGTAGGTTAACTTGCCTAAACATCAATATTTGTTTTGTTTTTTGTTTTTTGTTTTTTTCTTTCGCTTAAATACAGTCCTTAAATTGTTAATCGCCTTTTCATCAACAACTTGCATTTTGCTATGAGTTATCTTTATATTATCATAAGTATAGCATATATAAATCGGACGTTTACTCGGAAAGTCTGACATCTCTATCTTTCTGTCTGTGTGTGTGTGTTTCAATCTCTCTGCCTGTCTATGTTTTTGTGGATTTTGTATATGTCAGCAATTGTCTTGAATATCAATAAAGGAACGTAAAAAAATGATGATGATGATGATGATGATGATGATGATGATGATGATTATGATGATGATGATTATGATGATGGCTTAGAAGAAAACAATGTGAGTGTTTTTTGTATGCTTTTGAATATGTGCATATGTCTTGTTTATGTCAAAATTGTTTATGTAAAATCTTTGAAAATAAACAATTATAAAAAGCAAATGTCAATATATTCACATATAAGAAAAAATAAATCGGCGACATAGAATCTATATAGAATTATCGGCAAATTGTCGTCTCGATCATAGTGCAAGAATGACACAATTCAAGTTGTATCTGTCATTTTAAGTGCCCTGGCAAATACATATCTGTTACTGCTGATCAAAATTGAAAGAGAGTCGTTAAAAATGTAAACACTCACCCGTGTCTCAGGGTCCTCATTAACAGCGTCTTCAACCAACAACAAGCGTCCTCAAGTGACAACAAGCGTCGCCAGACAAAATCTTTAAAAATACCGAATAAAGTAAGCGGCATCAGAAGATATGTTGTTAATATAACTATAATACACCTTTGTACCAAATTTCAATTTGATATTTGAAAAATTGACCGAGTTATGCAAAATGTTTACGATCGCGGCGTGGCACATGTGTGTATTAACCTGTACAGTTAAGAAAGCGTCGCCAGACAGTATCTTTAGAAATTCTTACTGAAGTCAGCAACATCAGAGGATATGCTATTAATAAGACTTGATTGATATATACTCCAAATTTCAGCTAGATATATGAAAAAAATGACTAAGTTATGATGAATTATTTTTTTACGATTAGTGGCGTGGCACACGTGTGTGCATATAACTCCGCAGATCGTGAAGTGTCTTCAGACTTTACCTCTAAAATTAACCTAT